AACACAGTACACTTGTATTACAGTGTTACCTCTTGGACAAAGGAAATAAAAACATAAAACCAATTAATGAAATGCTACTGTTCTTGCAGAAAAAGCAAGTACTTCTCAAGGTACACAGGATGCCTTAATGAATCAAGAAGAACTAACAGTAGTTGATCCTGCAACCCTTTCTCCCAGAGAGTTTGTCATATATCAGTACGGCATCTCCATCCTACGGTTTCTCAGATTTCACATTGATGTAAGTTTTTAATATACTCATATATATATATTAAACTATCATGCTTGCACATGATGGCTATAACAAAAAGTCTTCAGCCAATAGGCTTCAAAAGATCTTATAAGGTAAGAGGAAATAGGAAATGACTAGCATGCAAGCATCAGGGATTGACTTTCATTTGTTTTGTCCCCAGTAGCATAGGACTGTTTTGAAGTCAAACCTTTCTCCCACACAATCCGTGATCAGTTCTTATATTTATTGTGGTATCTTTCTTGATCACATTGCTTAACTCTTGCATTACCAAATCCCTGCATACTGCATAATACTGTGATAACATGTTTTCCTTTACAACTTGGAGCAAAGATTCTTTCATTTTCTTCATACAGTTTGCACACTATGGCTTTAGCCTAGGTAAATTCTCCAGGGTCTTTCATAAGAGTATGAAGCAATAATAAAAATCATGGTGACTACAGCCAAAGCTCCAGGGCTAGAAAAGACTTTCATTTACTTAAATAGAAAACTGGCAAGATGAACTGCTGTGATTTGCTGATTTTTTTATTTTTAAACAGTCTCCATTTTCAGGGATAGTTTGTTGGCTCTGTGAACATGCTGCAAATCAAAGCTGACATTTAAATGAACTTTTATCCCATTAATTGCATCTTACTTTGCAGATTTGATGTGCATACACACTTTTTACAGAAGCATTTTTTCTTCTCTTTGCAGGCTCCAGAAATTAACCTGTGTCTTGCCTCCAGCATACCTCTTAGTAATGCCACCGGCAATGCTTTCAGAAACTCTTTCTTTTATCAGGTTTGTCAACTTCACATCTAACCATTTCTCTCATTATCGTATCCATTAAGTTATGGGAATAAGTAGTAAAATGCAAAAATGTTTCATACTTTTCAATTTGTAGTATGCTTGATGCTTTCTAGGAAAAAATATTGATCTAAGAAATTCTCACATGTTAGCAGTGTACTTCAGATATATCCGAATACAAACTTAACAGAGCACTCCAGGACACTGAGTTTGAATAGATGTTTAGTAGGAAGGTCAGACCCAAAGCACATTTATTAAATCAACAATGCTTACGCTGTTTTTCATGTCCAAATTCTACCACTTTCATTTCTATCAAATTCTCTATAGTCAGCTTTATAGAGATCAACAACACATTGGCACTTTACTCACTATAATTAAATTACAGAATCTGACTGTTTAGTGTTATTTATTTCTATTACTCTGGGATTGTGAGAGAGAAGTTTCCTGAAGTTCAGAATATGTAAAACATAAAACTGTCTAGAAACTGACTGCAAGAAAGCTTTAGATTTGCATTGTGGAGTATTAAACGATGCTTTATGACAATGGTGCTCTCGTGTATATGGCTATCCCCAGGACTCTAATTTGAATCTTTTCACTAAAATTGAGACAAACCATTTGAAGTTATTCATCAGCTGAGCTGACTACTGCTGTGCTCATCTCAGCTCTGGGTATTTATTATTTCTCAGAATTCAAAGCGCAAGCTATTCATTTTAAAGGATTGCCTGAGTTCTGTAGGAAGTTTCCTTCTCCTCCTTGTGCACTGCTTAGCTCATATCGCTGCTGCTGACTTCAACCACGACACCAACCCACTATTTCTGAGGCTTTTTCATCAGGTACGTCGACATGTTCCAGAAGTAATTACATTATAGCAGTGTTTGTAAAAAAAATATATATATGTATATGCCATTTTAAAAGGGAGGGTTCAACATCTTTATAGAGCTTCTAATAATAAAAAATAAAAGGAGAGATATAATAAAAATAGCTAAGTGTTACCTGAACTATTATTGTTACACAATGGCTATACACCAGAAAGAATCATGTTCAGTAGCTAAAGAACACTGCCTCACTTCAGGTGCAGGCAGCAATCTAGTAGAAAAATCCACCATATCATGTATTAACATCCTGCCTGAGTACAGGCTTGGGGCTTCTGTTGGTAGTTTGTTTTTATTTTCTAGGCATTAAAGGCTTGTCTTACTGAAACATTCTCTCTGAGACTCCAGCTGTCAGCAGCTCACCAGGGTGGTAAATGTTATGGAATAAATGAGCTGTTGCTAAAGAAAGAACCATTCTCCAAGGAGGAAGTAAGTCTCATCTCCCAACTCTTTGAGGTGAAAGTGAAAAGCCTCACAGACATGGAAGCCTTTGAGAAGGTAATAAGAAAGATCATGAGACCTGGTCTTGTTGAAAGCTCACCTTCCCTCAGAAATTAGATAAAGGCTTGTAAAAGTAACACTCATCTGCTTTCTTTACTTCTGTGCTTATTGCATAACACAAAGAACAACATCTCACTCCAGACAGAATTTGAGGAACCAGTAAATGACAAGTTGCTTGTGAAGAAAAAGGAGCATTTCCTTCATACCTCAAGCAGCTATGAAAAGGGCAGGTCTGGATGGAGGACACGGTAAGAGTGATTTGACAGGAAGTATTAGTAGCAGTTGTAGAAAGACAGTAACAACTGAACTATTTGGAAGGGTTGATACAAAACAAATCAAGACACCTCTTCATCATTACCTCACTTTCTACTATAAAGGAGAACTTAGATTTGATGCCAGCCTGTGTCACAGAAAGACCAATTACTTCTCTCTAAGCTACCATCACTTTCACTGTAACAGAAAACTTTCCAGTGCAATCTGTCTTTCTGGTTGGCTCTTGTGAAGAGTCTAGAGATGCCCTTTTGAACATTGGCATTTCTATTGCATGTTTTTAGCATTCTCTTCCATATATATTTATATACACTTCTTATTTTTTTAGCTTTGAAGGGAAAACACATTCTTACTTGTCCACATCAGAACTTGAGGATAAAGTGGATGCGTTAACTGAAGAGCTGGTGCGTATCATAGAGGATGAACACCAGTTTTTAAATGGTAAAGGCAATGAAGACTTGCTTCTTTACTACCTTGAAATAACTGGTTTGGAGAAAGACTGTTTGGTAAAACAAATAAATGCATTAGAAGAAAAAATAGACCTAGGCAGAAAGTTGTAATGGTGCACAAGACAACACTCGGTGGTTTGGTTCTAACTTGGTCCTCTGAATCCGTCCTCAGGCTTCAAGGCAAAATAAAACTTGTGTTTCTGTTTTACCTGTAGAGTATTTTCCTCCTTCATACTAAAAGCTCATTAAATCAGAAGTGAAAACAATGCAACCATTCATGTGACAGGCCTTTAGCTTAAGTGATATTTCTGGCTATATCCAAGTGGTAGAATCAAATGCTATTGGAAAAGCTCAGACTCAGAGTTTCCAGAAATAGAAGAGAAATATACAATTGCTCACAGGACTACTTAATGTTAAAAAAATATTTTTCTCAACTAATACATCACTTCACTACATGTTCTGAAGCCTCTGCAGACATCAGCTGACAGTTACACTTTTCTCCTAACTTAATGAGACAGTGAAAGCTGTAACCATAGAATGGTTTGGGTTTGAAAGGACTTTAAGATCATCTAGTTCCAATCCCCTTGCCATGGGCAGGGATGCCTCACACTTACCAACTCAAGTAACTATATCTACATAGTTACACAGCAAGAGATATGGTCACCACAACTAAAATCAACTTCCTTGGCCCAGGCAACCTTTACTTGCTCTGAAATCACCATATTTCAGTTGCCCTATAGTACTATGTATACTGGAATGAAGGTCCTGCACCAGCAAAGACTAGCCTGGCTCTTTATCTTGGAGAAACAGTCTTTCCTCCTCCCACATTCAATACCCAAACCCTGAAACACATGAAACATTCCATATTTGCTGATAAATGAAACATCACCTCTTTGCCCACAGCAGCCTTTGGTTTAGGTAAAAAGAAACTGGGAAAACAGCACTCACCCAAGATCCTTCTTTCCCTACCAATACAAGAATTCACAGAGGCACAAGAGAAGATTTAAATTAATTTCAGGAATCACTTAAGACCATCAACATTTATGCTGTTATCTCATTATACATCAATGTATTCAACATGGTAAACATTCAGATTATTATAACTTCACAAATACTGATCTATTCCATCCTCTCAGAATCACTGAATCAACTGTTCACACCCTCACTCCATACAGATGCTTATCTTGATTTTGCTTGGAAAAAACCCACTAGTAATTACAGTGAAGGGATTAAGGAATTAGAGTGCAACTTTTATTACAGTCATCAAGGCATCTCTCCTCACATCTTTACTCAGTTTAACGAACACCCCAGACAGCAATACCCACACATTAAAAAAAAACAAACCACAAAGCAACAAAACCCAAAACACAAAAGCTAAGCAGACTTCTAAAAGGGCAGGCTCCATATGTCTGCAGTCATGGACTAGGTAGAAGACAGCTTGACTCAAGTTGTCCCAAACTATGAGAATATCTTCATGTGTGCTACAATATTGCAAACTGGTAGGCTAAACATCCTTAGAGATAACAGCCCAGTTGCTCTACAAGGTGATGTGTAGCTTTGGAAAGCTCTAACATCATGTATTCATCCCTTTCCTGCCCAGAAGGCTGTGCTTTTATGACAGTTAAGCTATAGTCTAGAAACAAAAGCCCAGCTGCATATACCAAAGCTTCACTGAAGGGGGGGCAGAGAAGCGATCCCGCTTGTGACATAGAAGTTTTACTCGCAACGTAGCTGATTTTGTTACCTTCTCCAGAAGGAAGGAGACTATCGTTCAAAGCAACTTGGAGGGTGCATCTATCGTCCTTAATTTGCTTTTATTTTCAGAAAAAAAATCATTTTAACTCCTTTCTGGACACTGATAGCAGATCAGACAGCTTTTATAAAAAACATCAGCAGATTTATTGATATATGTATTTCCTTTTTAACTTACAAATAGAGTCTCATATTAATTTTAAATCTTGTTAACATTATAAAACATTTAAAAGGTACTATAATAAAACCCCAGAGTTTCAAATGCACAAAGTAAGAGACAGGGATTAGACAGTAAGTGATTTCTGTTTTCATCAAACTCTGTATTGCCAGCCTTCATCCCACACCACAGCTCAATGTTTCAACAGTCTATAATAGGGGCAACCATGAATCTACCGCTTGGGGTTGACCCAGTGGTATCTATCAACATACACTCCTGTGAAAGCAGCTGTTGATCTGTAGAACTTGTGACCCCTGTGCTGGATATAGTTTGAGCCATCAGTCATATAGGTCTTCCTATGAAGATACTGGGACCAGGGCTGTATGGGTGCCTTGTAGTAGTTACTGAACTGAACAGCAAGAAATAAGATGTTAACATGGGTTTGCAAAAGAGAGGGGATTAGTCTGGTTATCAAGTGTTAAGTCTACTGCATTTCTTCATGAGGGAACCTAGAGGACAGGTGCTAGCTCTTACTTGAAAACTACATACCACTACTAAATGCTTACCTGGTAAACGCTGTTAGGATTGCTGACAGTAGGGATAGCTTTTGGCTCCCTGTTGAAGCTCTCCTCATCTGAAGAAATGCCAGACTGATAGTCTAGTGCTGCCTTCTCAACAGCACAGCTGATCTGCTGAGGAAGTTTTGGGTTCTCTCCCTCAAAGTGCGCAATTGTGAAGGGCTGATTCTTCTCTCCATATCTGAAAGTGATGTATTGGTATAACACAGCTATGACTAACAGTATGGATATCTATTACTAGTCAGTTGACATAAGTACATGTACCCTCAGATACAGACTACACTAACAACCTTGGAGTTAATGAAGTTTGTACAAGACACCTGGCATTCATTAGCCACAGCTTTTAACTCACCTGCAACACACTTCAAAAGGATCAACCCATAGTGTCATCTCTTTTGGCAAACCAAGCTTATTGAAGTCCACATTACTCTGCACACAAGCTTGCTCCAGCAGCGGATCTCTTGTCTGGTGCTTGTTTATTCTTATACACCTTGTAAGAACAAAATGTGGGGGGAATGTAAGATTTGACCAGAGCTTCACAAGTTCTGCACAACACATTCAGGCTGTTGATGCAAGTTCTCACTTATAGCACCAACTAGCAATTCAGTGCAATAAGCTGATTGATGCAGCCAATGTTTAGTTTGTTTTGAATACTTAATGCAGCAACTCACTTCATGGGTAATTTCCAGGAGGATTAAAAGCAGTTTAGTAACTCCACAAGTCAGTTTCAGACAATGTGAATTTCTCATTTGAGAAGTCAAGAAGTCTTAAGTAGAGGACTACTCAAAACATTTTGTGCGTGCTGTCTTAAGGCTTTCACCTCAGCTCCCTAGTCATACCTACACAGGCACACGCTGAAGTGACTTTCAAATAAGTGCATTTTTACCAGTTTGATTCATTTCCTCAAGCTTAAGGGATAGTTAAGTGGCTTTCTTTCATTTTCATGTCACTGATTCCAATTTAAGGGCTCCAGCCACTGAAAGGGTGCTCACTACATCTTGAACATCATGCAAAGACTCCATTCCCCCTACCCTTCTACTAAGAGTCTTCTTACCTGAAAGCTTGCCCTCTGGATGGATTGTCCAAGTACCAGTGATTCTTATACTTTTCAAAGAGTACTGCTGTCAGCTTAGCTGCAAATTTCTCCATTTTATGCTTGCTCAGCTTATCTTCCTTTTTCGCTAGCCTTGTGATGAAGAAGACTGTGGCAGCAATTTCATCTTTCATTTTAAATTTAAGCATACAAGGTGCTTCAGCTGTTGGACAGTCATCAGCAGAGATGAGACACTACACTAAAGAGATTTAATAACATTAAGGTGCTATCAATTTCCAGGATATATATGGCATAACCTGCATAAGCAATGCCAGACAGAGACTAGGAAGCCCAATTGCCAAACAACTGATAAATTTAGCTTTGGTTAATAAAATCAATTTAATGTCTTACTAGAAAGTACTTAGACTAAAAATATTAACAGAGTACTAAAAAAAGAGCTTAAAAGAGGCACTCATTATACATCACAACAACCAGCAGTTCTTACAGCTATATAGCTCTTTCATAAACAATAAAGAACACAAACCTTACCTATGCCAGACCAGAGCTACTGAAAACCTGAAGCACAGTTTATAAACAGCATCAAACAGCTAACAATAAAACACATTCAAAGCTACAAGAATCTATAGCACTTATACAGAAGCAAAAAAACCAACACCCAACCACTATCCACTCACTTTTCCTCTACTATAGCTTGCTTATGGTTTATATAGAACAGGAAATCATGTGGTTCTGGGGAATGTAACTATCTTCAGGTGTGCATCATTAGGTTAACTAGCATGCTGCTTTCAATGCTATTTCCAGTTTACATGGTTTTATTCAAATCAGAGCTCCTTCTTTTAGGGTATATTTAATTGATTTAGCACTGTTTTCTGTTGTGTCCATCAGTCTATCCCATAAGTGTCTGTGAAATATTTACATGAAATGTTTACCATGTGAAAAATAGTGCAAGGCTTGTTAATTACTTATTAAAATTGCATTTGACTAATTCTAGCAGATTTAACTCAACACAGTTCCCTTAGAAAGCCCTCAGATTTGGTATTCTTTATCTTAACAATTGCATGACACTGTAATTATAATGTTAATCTTTCTTGTTCCACAAGAACAGATTGTAACTCCTCTAGGGACAATTCTGTCTTTCTTGCCAAAGCTTAGGAAGTTGTTATTTAGTCTGGTTTCTTTGCCTTCATGTAATTTTTTCACAGTATCATATTATAATCTAATAAAAGATATGACTCTTCCTATAAACCTTGTTTTTCTTTTATTCTTGAAATATCAAGGCTAAAATAACATTTCCACTGCAAATCAGCATGAGGCATCAAAGGGAGTCCATCTTCTTCTGCCCTGGAGTCCATAACTTGATCATAGTTTCCATGTGGGATCTGACCCTGACACAGTTCAGCCTCAGGAATTATTCAGTTACCGTCTTTTCCTCAATAAATGCCAAGCCGGTTTGGATCTACGGGATTGGTTCAAGGGACTTTGAACTGTCTCCTGCCTTCTTACTTTCTCCAACTTGCCCAGGCCTGCCCTGAGAATTCTCTGACAAGGAGTGAAGTGACTAGGTTCCACAAAGGCCAGGCAAGGAGGTGTCTGAATCCCTACAACACCTCCTTTTGTTGGGTTAACTTGTTCCCATAGTTAACACGTAAACAGCAAGTCAGCAATAAACAAACTCTTCACCTGAGAAACCAGATCGCAGCATTGCAATCAGTCAGGTAATAAGGTGCTAGTTCTTGAATGCTGGAAGGCAACACCCAGGACAAACTGCACACACTTATACCAACAAACACAGGAAAATGTAAGCAAAGTTGTTAGCAATTCATCCGGTTGTCTGTAATTACTGGAATTGTCATTGATACAGAGGGAAGGTTCTGAGAACTTTTTAACTTGATATTTTGCTATCATGCAAGAGTTCAAAAGTGTTTCTGTTAATGGCACTGAAGCCATAATAGCAGAGAGTATATTTCTGCCTTTCCATTTCAATGATGATAAAAACTCTCTTCTAATTAGGTAGAGTCATCGAACTCACGTCCTTCATAATGCTGTCAGTTGTCACTGACTTGAAGAAAATGCAGCCCTGGGTACTCTGTTTGGATAATAATCAGCTAAGAATCAAAATGCCAAAAGCAAACTTTTAACAGTCCATCCCAATGTGAGACCTGTTAAGTAACAGTTAACAAATTATGCTCCTATCCCAGCAGATTTTCAAAATGAAAAATAAACCCCAAAGCACTAAAAACCACTGCATTTGCAGTATCCGGACATTCATGGGACTGATCCAGAGCTCACTGAAATCAACGGACATCTGTCCAAAGACTTCAGTGGGATTCAGATCAGGCCCCTAACTCTGCACAAGCATTCTTAGCCAGATTAAATTATGGGTCTCCTGGGTCACCAGGCAAGCCTAGGCATGAACTACAAAGGGAAAGAATCAGAGACAGTTTCTCTAGTAACTGCAGGCCAAACCAAGAGCAAACACTGTTTCCCTAAACACTACTGGCAAGGTCACTCCTGCAGAGGTTTTTGCAGTTTTCTTGCTTTAAAGGATTGAGTGCATGGAACTAACAAAGTGCAGCTTGCTAGTAGCGATCTTCCTTCTACAAGCCGTTTGATTCTTGTGGATGACGGATAACAGACAATTTCTCCAGGTAAGCAGCTGAAGCTCTTAACTAATGATACGTTATTTCCCTATGGCAAACCAACCTAGATGACAATCCTCTTAGAGAAAAGCACTTTGCATTTGCTTTGTCATGATACATACTGTCCTGATTGGATTCAAAAGCATCACATAAGTGCGATGTACAAACAAGAGTAGTGCTGCATGAATACAGCACCAATTCAGTTTACTATGCCATTAAGATGGAGGGAGAAGAAACCTTGCACCTGTGTATTAAAAACTTGCGACTTTATTTAAATTATTCAGTCTCTGTCCAAATAATTATTTTGGACTGAAGCAAGACAGAAACTGATTCCAAGCAAAGCCACAAACTAAAATGTTAACATCTTGATTGCTCACAGTTTTTTTCCCTTTCAGCTTTTATAAGTAGACACTTTCTGGGCCTGATGTGAAGGCTTCAGAATAGGTATTTCAGAAATGAAGCCTGTTATGACTAAGGTTTTCATCTTTGCTTGATTACTTAGGTACTCAGTGGATGTCCGGTAGAAACCTAAGTAACGGGTACTTACACATATTTTTTCTGGCAAAAGATTTTACCATGAGTCCTATATTTTATTATGCAAAGTGCATATGACAGTATGACCATGCTAATTACACTGATCAGGAGGAGCCTCCTGCCCAAGGAAAACACTCACTCAAAAGTGAAATAAGGTCTGTGAGAACACCCATATTGTGCAGGTAAGGCAGCAAACCACAGTAGTGTGAAAACAGTGTCATGCAGGGCAGAAGGGATGTAACTGCTAAGGTGGCATATTCCACAACTACAGAAGATGTTCAGGCTCACTACTCCATCTGTAACAGTTAACTTTAGGATCTGCTTCCATCCTCACTCTGTAAACTGTCATCTTCCTTTGCAGAAGAGAAAAACTGTGGTTTATGGGGCTATGTAGCAATGTTTGGCACCTAATACTTTCAATTCATATTACAATATGAATACAATATTGAATATGAACAGGAATTGGGAAAAGCTTACATGTGCTTGAAGAGAGTCTTAAGTGCTTGAGAACCTCATGTTGCTAGAATTTAGGATCATCAGTCTTCAGCAACTTAAGCAATAAAGTAAACTTAAAAACTGCTGCTGGTCGCTGCTGATCTAGCATATTCTAAAATTAGGTAGCAAAGGAAAGGCTGCAAAGCTACCTGAGCTGATTTTATGCAGTCTAAGATCTATTGCAGTAGCCTTGTAAATTTTTCTGCTAATGTAATCAAGGGTTGATTACTTTTGTCAGTTCATTCTTCCTCACTACTTGTATGCCATGATTTTCAGAAATGACAAGGTATTTGAACCATGAAAAGACTAGTCTCCTGGTATTAATAAAACCAGGATAATGCCTGACTACCCACATGTCAGCCTGACCAGCCACGTGTGATACTAAAGCCTGGATCACCTTCGGCACCTGTGACACAACCACATCCATTTGCCCACAAGAGCAGGGTGGAAACCCTGCCTGTGCTCCCTACTGACTCTGCCCATAGAAACTTCTTTTGCAACAAAGCTTCCTATGGCAAGAGCCATCTGGACGTTTTGAAGCAACGGTCCAGTCTCCATGCACAAGCCCCAGCTGAGTGACCATGACGACAGAGTGTACACAAAGGTTACAGGCAAGGGGCTGACCTGCAGCCTGGACTGGGGACACTCCAACCCAGGAGTCCCAGGGGAAGACATGGGGCACACAAGGGCCACCTAGGGAATCATCTGCAGAGGGATGCCTACCAGGAAAGACTGCTGAGTGATGAGTGAATAGGTTGCTGTGCTAGCCATGGAAAAGGGAAGGGAAGGAAATGAAGAGTGAAGAAGCTCGCCATTTTCCCCTTTTCATTAAATCTTTTTAAACATTTCATTATAAATGCAGTCCTTATCAGGAGTATTCCAAGGTAAGCTTCTTGGGAATAAGTCCTGAATCTTTTTATGCATTTTAACAATAAGGTATTTATGGGTGAAAGCTAGCAAAACTGTTTAATTTGCAGACAAACTCATCCTTGTAATCTCACAGACTCTGAAACATTTCTAATTAAGGAATAGCTTGATAAATCTATACAAGCTGGGTTTATCGCATTATTAAATGCATACATATGTATTAGACACAAGGCATATTTGATTCTAACTACTTATACACAGTCAGTTTTGTTCTGCAGAACAAATTTGCCAGTTTCTTTAGCTACCACAAATTACTGTAAAAGGTTTGAGCAGCCTGACATCTGACTACCAGCACTATCTGCCTGCCCATCAGCACTGTCTGTCTGCCCATATTTTTCTGGGAAATAAGTAAAATTGTACCATTCTTCCTGCTGCTGCAGTTACATGCACTTTCTTCTGAAATGGAAATTGCACATAACCTGTGCAGGAGAACATTAACTCAAATGCCCCAACTGGAGAACAAGGATAAGTAGGATCACTGTGACATAAGCACTAACAGCTGACGTGCTGAAAACCAGTCAGAATGTTATTCATGTTGAACATTTTCCCCTGGCTGAAATTTGCAGCTGTAGTTCTACTTACATCTCTGAATGCAGCTGCCACTTAGTCTACGTTCATGCAGCAAGGACTGCATGCCAAAGCTTTACTCATTTCCCATTTCC